ACGGAGCATTCCATGAAAAGTACAAACCGTTATCACATATTATATACATTATTTATACATATAAAATGATGCACATACATACTCCAGGTTCCATAAAGTAACCAGTAGGTAAATATGTGATTGGGGGTGTGTGGGGGAGAGATTGGCTTAGCTCATCCAAGAGCTTCATTGCTATGACATGTTTACTTATTTAGGCCATTCTCATTTCAGTTCAGTAACAGGCTTGATCAAGGCTATGAGCTTTTCTCCTGATTATATTGTGCTACATTCCAGATTCAAGCATCTGACAGAGGTGTCCCACCTCGCAGGAAAGAACACACCTTAAGAGTGAATATACTGGATGTTAATGATAACCCACCAGTTATTGCAAATCCATACGGCTACAACGTTAGCGTTAATGAGGTAAGCTTCTCTGCTTGCTGTCTTTCTGTGAAGAGAGTTATTTGTGCACAAGGAAGATCTGGTTCTAACCCCAACAGCCCCTCATATTCTGCAACATATATAGACACTTACTTGAGGATATTATTTGACAATGTGCTTCTGGGTTTAGGCAGCAGAGCCCTGCTTGTTGTGCCATCCAGATTAATAGACATAAATACTGTTGCCTCTGTCCAACGTGTGGCTTCTCAAACAGGTTGAGAGAACGCTTGATTTGGTGAAATAGCCAATCCTCTCAAATTGCTTGTGGGTCCCACACTGAACAACAAGAGCTCCAATAAGAAACCAGTTCTAGTCTATCTGTTGCCGTAGGAAGATGATGTAATAATAATAATTTATAATAATAATTTATTATTTATACTCCGCCCATTTTGTAGTCTTTGCCTAATCCCAAATCCAAATCTAATTTTTATGACACAGTTCCATTTTTAGAGAAGTATGCATAGATATAGATATGCCAGACTAATATTCCTTTTTGTGTGTGTGCTCACAGAATGTGGGTGGAGGTACCGCTGTGGCTCAGGTGCGAGCAACTGACAGGGATAGTGGCCTCAACAGTGTCCTCTCCTACTACATCACTCAAGGGAATGAGGAACTGACCTTTCGCATGGACAGAGTGACTGGGGAGATCGCCACCCGCCCTTCCCCTCCAGACCGTGAGAGGCAGCAGTTCTACCAGCTGGTGGTCACTGTGGAGGATGAAGGCAACCCAGCCCTCTCGGTAGGTGGTGATGATGCGATGCCACATTTTGCAATTGGCAATGATCTTGAGAATTACTGAATACACTTATTGTGGGATAAAGGTCCCATGAAAAACTGAGCAGGTGTAGACTTGCCTAGTTCCATCTAGTTCTGAAATTGGATTATTTTGAAAATGCTGTGTTGTCAGATTCAGTACATGCTCCATATTTAACATTAAGGTCATGCAAACATACGTTATAATTTTAGTGATCCGTCCAGTTATTACAGAGAGTGTATACATTCATGATATCCAGATTGTGTTGCCTCCTAGAACTCAGAGGTAGAGCAGAACAAGTTCTCACACATATATAAATATGCTGGTCAGTTAAATACTGCTTTTATATAGGCACAGTGGTGGAACCTGTTTAAAGTAACTGGAAAGGATTTACACCAGTGATCTACTAACCTTAGAGTTTCTTAACTCTGCTACTCCTACCTACAAAGCACCAGGTTTGCAAGATCCTTTCTAGATCCAACCAGAGACCCATCTAACCCAGCATCCTCTTCTCACCCTGACCATCTAAGATGCCTATAGGAAGCCCATAGGTGGGACCTACCGTGTTACAGCACTATCCCCCCAGGGCTAGCCTGGGAAGTTTTGCCTCTTGAGGCAAAATCCATCATCTCTTCCTCCATGGGCTGCCTGCTGCCACTTCTTCCATCGGTGCACCTGCATCAGCAGTGGGGCCCGACAGTGGAGGGGGCAGGGGTGGGGTTGTGGCAGAAGCGTGGTGCACCTGCAACAGCAGCAAGGCACACCTTCAGATGGCAGTGGCAGGATGTGCCCACCATCGTGGCTAGTAGTCATTGACAACTTTTATTTTCCATGGATTTGGCTAATACCCTTTTGAAGCTGTCCCAAGTTGGTGGCCATTGCTACAACTTGTGAGAGCCATTTCCATTGTTCAGCCCAGGCTCTTTGTGAAGCTGCACTTTCTTTTGTCTTTTGTCTGCATTCAGCTTCAGTGGATGACCCTGGACTCTAGTATTACGAGAGAGGCAGAATCGGTTTAAAAGGTGCCACCTTTTTTATTTTAAGTGCCAACAGGCTGGTTCCACTCCAGTTCAAGGGTTGGTTCCAGATAGGAGAATTTCTGGCTGTTGATTTTCCTGGTGACTAATAACTTATCTCAGGTTGACCTGAGATAGCTGCCCTGTTCCATACTAGAATGAGTGTTTATTCGGCTTTAGCTGCTCCTGAAACTCATAATCTGTCGCTTGTCTGTCTAGTTTCTCATGTATTGAAATGCAAGCTGGGAGGCTACTCTATCCAACAGCTATTTTTCCTCCACACCAGAAATGCAAGATTCGCACATATTTGATACCATGACATCTAGGTTATGTTCTGGTTCTAACTATTATTAATGTTGTGCCTGTGTACATGGTCTCTAAATTATTTTATGCTTTATGTAATGACAACAGGGAAGTAGCCTACGTGTTTTCATGCTCATAGAATTACAGGAACAAACAAGTTTAGAGAATGTAAATGCAAGCTTCTCCTTTTGAATACTTCCCATTTTCGGCCATTTCTTAACCACTTTTACCTAATAGAAATTTTATTTTCATGTGTATCTCTTTCAAACTAAAACGGGTTGTGAGTAACTTCTGTTGTGCATCCACACAGGGTTGTTGTTTTTTTAGAGTGAGGAATTTTGAGATTATGTAATCAGTATACAGGATCCAAAAACAGACTGAGAGTTCCACAAGTCCAAACAGTTTGGCAACACAGTCCATAGCATGTTTAACGGGCAGTAAATTTTATGGTGTTCAGCCTAGAAAATGTGCTTAGAAATGTACAGTGTACCATTAAAAGTTGTGTCTTGCAGCAAAACCATATACTACTTTCGCAAGCCCTTTTTCTCCTGCATATGATCTCCAGCACCACAACATGCAACAGCCATTTGGATACAACCTAATGATTCAAATGACTGATATCATTTGAGCCAATATCAATTAATCTTGAGCTCCTGCTTGCTGCCTTTCAGAGTAGGATTCCAGTTATGATAAGCTGATCAGCCTGCTTCATCTTAACCCAAAAATTTATTCCAACCTACACTATTTATCTACAAACATTTAAGGTGGCAAGTACTCCCTTTGACTCAATTTAGTTCTCAGATCAGCTTTGTCAAAGTTCACAAAAGATATTTGCTGTTTATTGTAAATTTATCCAAACTCTATTTGGAGAAGCACTCCCATGTTATCCAGACGCCACTTGAATAGGTTTGGCTATGCTTTCATGCATCTGTGCAAGTTATCCCAGCACAGTACCAAATACCAAGAATCTGTTCCAGTTTTCCTAGTATACCTTTTGGCAGTACATCTGACTTCCTAGAGGAATTATAATCTGCCAGGCTAGAGGAGAGTTCTCTTGTCCCATCATACAGTCAGAAAACAGAGTAACTGAACAGGAATTGGTTTGTTTGGGTTGTTAAGATAGTGTGCTATGACTTACAGTGGTGCTGAGAACAGAAAAGCTGCAAATTTTAAAGCATTAAAAGAGGAAACAAAATAAAGGAAGCATGGCAACTTTTTGCACATTTCCCCCTTCATTTCTAGTGGTTTATTTATTGCTGAGCAAAGTTGTAGTGGTGAACAGCTGCTGAACATTAAGATATGCTAACTTCTTCCCAGAACCATTTTGGACTAAGATGAGGAAATTGCTTTAGTCAGCAGCACTAGTTACACAGTAGAGTGCATTATGCTACACTAATTTTAAACCCTAGGATGTTTAGAAGTGGCATGACTTTTAACAGATTCTGTCGAAGCATCTTTAGTTTCTGGTAGCAGCTTATGAAGTGTACCGTCACTTCCGCAGCTTTATGTCCATCTCCCATGAGGAATTTTCTCTGCAGAGCCTTCATATCATCTCGTTACCATTCCAAAAGTATAGTCCCAATCTCCGCAGCCTACTCCGTTCTGGAGCCCCGTTTGCATCCTGAATGGAATGTAAGACGTGACGGCGCATCTGCGCATGCGCGGGTCACATTTTGCCGCTTCCGCACATGCGCGTGATGTCATTTTTGAGTGTCTGCGCATGCGCGAGCAGCGAAACCCGGAAGTAACACACTCCGTTACTTCAGGGTTGCCACAGAGTGCAACCCGAACGCGCTCAACCCGAAGCACATTCAACCCGAGGTATGACTGTATTTAACAATCGGTGCAAACATGAGTCATTTCTCATTCTTAAAGTGTATACTCTTGTCTTGAGAAAGAAGAACTGTGAAAGTTTTATTTGGGACCTTACTGGGATGGGCTGCGTTTTGATACTGTGGTCTACGCTATCTTACACTCATACAGTTGTTATTCCCAAATAACAAGGACTCTCCTTCCTTTGAGGTTTTTAAGCAGAGGTTGGACGGTCATCCATCATGGATGCTTTAGCTGAGGTTCCTGCGTTGCAGCTTGTTGGATTGGTTGACACCTGGGGATCCTTCTGGGTCTCGGATTCTATGAATCACTCAATTCCAATCCACTCTAACTTCATTATATTTTATGGAAACATCATAACTTTATTAGAAACCTAAATATCAGTGAGTGGGGGGGGTTGCAGTGCATTGGAGAGGCACATGTTTTGCAGGCAGAGGGGCCCCAGCGTCAGCCAGATAAAAGGGTCAGGTGGCAGGTAATGTGGAAAGCCCTGCTTGAGACTGACTTGCCAGTCAGAATAAGTAATGACGGACCAGTGATCTGGTTCAGTATAAGGCAGTTTCATGTGATCAGCGGTGAGTGTTGGAAGCCTGGTCTATGGATTCTGTTGGAGTTCTTGATGAATATTACTTGCCCACATCCTTTTCCCCCCCATGGCAAAAGAGAAACGCAACCACAATAAACCTTTTATTTTCTCATCAGAACATTTTTTTTAAAAAAAACACAAATATAAAAAACATTCAGAGGTACTATCAGAGCAGCTGGTATATTCACGTAGGATAAGCGGTTCCCAGACCTACCTTTACACAAGCAGTTACCTTTATACACACACACACACACACACACACACACTGCTTCCTACTAGACAGGAGCAAGCAGGATGAATTTGAAAGAGTAAGGTCTTCGCTCATGTCATTAATAAGCCTGCTTTCTCTTTTCTTCACTCTCTGTTCTTAATTCATACGTATTTTAAATGCTGGAGGATGTATACAGTCAAACTCCTTGTGTTCTCTCATCTATGGCAAGCAATGAATATCTATCTTCTTAAGACGCCTTAACTTTCTTCTTAATCCATCCTAACTTCAAACTTTCCAGAATAACTTACTTACTGAACGTGGGGCGGGAATCATAGAATTGTGGAGCTGGAAGGGAGCATGTGGGTCAATCTAGTCCAACCCCCTGCAAGGCAGGAATCTTTTGCCCAACGTGAGACTCGAACCCACAACCCTGAGATTAAGAGTCTCATGCATGTATCTCTTATCATCATTTAGAAATTATTGGAATGGTTTTTATTCCTATAAACCTATTTAAAATAATCACAACCCCTACATATTTCGTATATTACTTTTTTTTTTTAATGTGAGGTCTCTCTTGGAAATGGAAGCATTAGTTCCTCTCTGCAAACCCACATGCCTTGGAAGAGCTTAATCCGCTAATGAATATGGTATGATCAGTCAGAGAACCTGAGATGCCTTGCCTTGCAGTTTCCACTGTTTGCAATGGATGTGCTAAATAGACTATGAAACCAGATTAACGGGAGCTGGTTAAAACATGCTTCTGAGCTAAGGCGTTTGGAATATAGCCTCATGTCTTTGAGAGATAACCACTGCAGTTTTTATAGAAACTGGATTAGACCAAAACATTAATTTTCAGATCTGTTTTTAAAAAGTCACAACAGTCAGGTCCTAAGTGTGTTGCGAAATCCACATCCTGGGCAAATTTCTAAAATAGGTCTCAATTGTTTTGTGACAACAACAGACTAGATTTGACATTAGATCTAATTTTTGATAGTTTGGCATGCTTGTGCTCCATTGACTATTTGCTACACCACCCTGATTAGTTCATAGTTGTGCATGTACCATACAGCAAGCGGTAAAAAGAAAATCAAAAGACTGGTTCATAGAATTCGGAGAGCAGGTTCAGAGCCAAATTTGCTAAAAAATAATTACGATGTTTTAAGAAGGAAAAATTAGTTGAGACTGCAGCCAGGTACTGTGAGATTTTCATGTGTAATTTTTTTTTAAAGCCAGGATACAAGTAAAATCTGTTGCAAAGCACCGCTTTTAAAATTATATGTATACACAATGCAATTCATATAAAGAAAGACCTAGAATGCCTAAGATGGTTTTTTTCTGACAGAAAGCTTTGAAGTTTTTTGTTTTTTTAATCTAGTCCATATTTCCATGGAGGAAAGTGTTAAAATCACTGTCCAGTTTTTAAGGCAAATGGTGGTAACACTCATAATTCCTCCCCATGGCCTGTTCCTGTTAGAATTCAGAAATCTTCTTGATCTCTTCTCCAGTCTTGTACATGGTCCCGGTGTATTAAAACCATACACCTTTTTTAAAATATGTGGCAATTGTTCATAAAATCATCAGCATTGTGAAAAGAAAAAGCCATCAGAATCCTAGAAGGTTTCAGTACCTCAGCCTCTTCCAGAACTTATTTTCTGCCCTGATATACTGTATTTAAGGAACAGAGTAGTAAGTGAAAGTTAGGACAAGCACCAAGTGCCTCAGAGACAACCATTTTTCTTCCCCTTAGAAACAGTCTTCAAAAAGCGTTTTTTTTCCTTCCTATCCACCGCCCCTTCTCGTTTTTGTTTGTTTGTTTGTTTAATGCAGCAGGCAAACCCTTGTCCAAATTGAGGCCAAAGATTCCATGAAAGACATTCTTCCTGGAAAACTTTATTATGCATTTGTCGTGTTTGGTGAGTCAGGAACAGGCTCTGAAAAACAAACAGCGATGATTAGTTCCCTTTTTTCCACCACCACCCCCCTGTATATTCATGCCTGCAAACTTATTTATATGTAGTTATATGTCTGCTGCCCCTTGTAAAGATTTCTGAGCTGGTTACTTCTCACCTCCCTCCCAAAAGCAAAGAAAAAAGGAGAATGCGGTGAGTGAGAATGCAGGTTGCTTCCCACTCTATGCTAGCATTCATAGCATATAAAAGCCTTTTTCTGGAGCCATAGCAGGCAGCATTTGTATCTAGAAGCCACAGTACCACCCCAATCAAGAGGTTAGGAAACATCTGAGGTTCTCCAGAGTCCTCCCTCCCTGCCAACGCTAGGAGGACTGAGTCTGGATTCTGACCAGAGTTCCAACTGCTGGCTTTCCATAAGTGAAACAAAACTGATAAGAGAAACTCCTAGGGAGCCAAAGGGTGCTGTTCATCTCGTGATTTCTTCCCTTATCAGATCTCAAGGTGTTTGAGAACGTGTAGCGTTGCAGCAAACAGCAGTCCCCATCCCCTTGATCTTGGACATGTAGTCAAATGTATGGCCATGGGCAACTTCTGAAAAGGAAATTATTCCACCAGCATTTGGCATACACACACACACACATTATATATATATATATATATATATATATATATATATATATATATATGCAGGTTTTGGTGTCCTCGGGTGTCTTCCCGTGTAAAAGTTGGGGTGTCTAGGCGACGTTTCGATGAGGTCTCACTCGTCATCTTCAGGCTGGTGCTTTCGGCTTCTTGTTACTGGAACAGAGCAGGATCTCAGTGTTTGAGTTCCTATAAATACTGTTGAGGGGGTGTGGTGTATAGCCTCCAATGTTCTGGGCAGAGAGGAAGTTCCCAGGCTAGTGTGCCTTTTCTTCTTTTGTTCCTTAATTACTTGAGGGATATCTTGAGTGATTTCTTGAGTGATATTCTGAGTACCACTTAGGTGGGTCATTAGGTACCACCTAAGTGGTACTCAGAATATCACTCAAGAAATCACTCAAGATATCCCTCAAGTAATTAAGGAACAAAAGAAGAAAAGGCACACTAGCCTGGGAACTTCCTCTCTGCCCAGAACATTGGAGGCTATACACCACACCCCCTCAACAGTATTTATAGGAACTCAAACACTGAGATCCTGCTCTGTTCCAGTAACAAGAAGCCGAAAGCACCAGCCTGAAGATGACGAGTGAGACCTCGTCGAAACGTCGCCTAGACACCCCAACTTTTACACGGGAAGACACCCGAGGACACCAAAACCTGCATTCCTGTACCCGTGAAAATCTACGAAAGCATATACATATATATATATATACACACACACACACACACACACACACATACTGCTAGCTAAGGAACTGACGAGAGAGGGAGGGAGAGAGAAATGAATAATTACCCAGTGTTGGGAAGAAACAGTCCCCCGGGGCTGGAGGGGAGAGGGGAGTATTCGGTTCCGAGAGAAGATGTCGACCAGACTCTGATAGCTGGCGGCTAGCCATGTAGCTTAATTGCGGCCTGGCTTTGGGCTCCGAATTAATGGTAGGAATGTCATCAAAGACAGGATTCTCAATGCCATGGGTGTTGCTGAAAGGAAAAGCACAGGTTCAAGACACTAACCAGACCAGAATGAAGTCTCATTCTCATTCTCCTCTTACTTAGATGGAAAACAAATTCTATTTAGATTGCTGCTACTTGTGTCTTTATTATATCTAGGGGAAAAGTACTGGTGTGTATTAAGATGTGTTCGGTAGTGCCTGAATGACTATTTCAGTGGTTACTAAGAACTGAGTCAGCTACAAACCAATTAGTAAGTCTATTTTTTGCTCAAAATATTCCTTTTAAAAAGCCAAGTTTCCAGCACTGTAAAAATATTCATTTCTTAAAAGCAAAGTAACTATTTGTGGTGTCAGTAGTGACACCAAAATTAATTTCCATCTTTCAGTGTCTTGTTCATCCAGGTAGTTTTGGTTCAAGCAAAACCTGCAGAGCAGGACACGTAACACATTTAATGCTGTCAGACAATCCATTTTAGAACTATGGAAGGGTCATATTTTGATTAATGTAAGCAACAGAAGAACCTGTTGACTGGTAAAGCTAGATCTATCACCATGTTAGATCGTCCTCTGGCTAGGTGGGCTTATTACCAGTTAGCTCTCTTTCAGAACAAAAAAATCAAGTACGTAAAAGTTTATCTTGTACTGGGAATGTTGTGTTATTTGGCTTAGAGGATGAGGTTCAGAAAGCTTGGATCAGGCAGGTATGTACATAAATCCGTAATGTGCAACTAAGTTTAGCAGTGTGCAAGCCTGGGACAGAGTACGTGGATGAAAGGCCAAAATCTTTCCCCCTTTACTGACTGGCTGTTGCCAGCCTACTGAAAACCCCTTACTGGCATTCTGCCTGTAGGAAAGAGGCTACAAGAAAGATAGGGGCAAAGTTTTGTTTGACCATGGCCCCTCTTTCCTAACACTGGCCATGAAGATCATTAGATAGAGCTGTAGGGCTTCTTTCAGCTAATAGTAGGGTATGGTTGAATGGTAGGTGAAGTTGGCCCACAGGTTTCCAGCCACCTGCTGCAAATATAAACATGGGATCTATATAACGCTAGTTCCAAGAGTACTGATCCGACTGCCTTAACTTTTAAAGTCCTAAATGTCCTAGCTCAGGGAATCTCAAGGAATTATTCTATCCATGTGGCATGTCTTCACCTCCACTACACTGGCATCTTATATCAACTTAAGAAACTCTGCTTCAGATACTAACATTGAGGAGGTGCATTTGGCATCTACTAGGAAGAGAGCCTTTTCCTCAGTGGCTGTCTTCTCTGTTGAATTCCTTTTCTAGCAAGGCTTCTTGCTAAGACACAAAGACTTCAGACTTTTCTGAAGAAGTCTTTTTGGGATTGCAATTTGATCAAGTTAGGCTGCTGCGTTACTGTGGTTTCATTAATTGCTTTATCCTATTTGTTGCTAAACCGCAACTTCTTGATGCTTCAACCTCTCTTGATTTTATTGTGTGCCCTAAGCCAAATTCCAAAGTAAAAATATAGCAATACAGTAAAACAGAATTTCTCACCTCTCCATTCTGACAAGTTCGTGAGCACCTGCAAAAAAGGAATGCAGTGTTGTTACTGTGACATTTCCCTAGGCAGTCCTATTTCACATTTTAAAAAAAATCAGGTGATAGAATTTCAGGTATAGAAGAAACCCAAAGTTAATTTTGTCCATCCCCCTTGAGCTGAGTGTATGGTCTTTTCTATTCAAGAGATCTATCCTACAGATGAGGAGGCCATGGTGCATATAAGGATATGCATTTCCAATTCCTCTTTAGTGACTGTTTGCTTTGCTTTTCCTAAGCAACAAATTCCTTTCTCTTTTGTCGTGACACTTATTGGCTTGGTGATTTGGACTGGGGAAGTGGAAACTATTAATCCACATGGTACTCAGATACCAGATATAAGCAGTTTAGCAGTGGCCGGGAATGGTATTCTGTCCATTATTTCATCCTCTTTCCTTCTAGTGAAAACATTTTTATGAATAAGCAAAAGTTAAATCCTAACAAAATTTACTGCATATAATACAGGGGTCTTGGTCCTACAGTTCCTCCTGCACTCCTTTATTTGAGCTGCTACATAAAAGAGAAACTTTACAGTTGCCATTCAAGTCTGATTCATGAATTGTTCCTGGATTTTCAGTTTCAAGTGTTGAAACTCTCATATTTAGTAACCGAAAACCTCAAGGGTTTTAAATATATATATATTTGCGTGTGTTTGTGCAGGAACATATATTTATGCATATTACCATAATTTTATTTCAACCACATTTTTTTCCCAGAAGGGAAATATTTCTAGCATATGAACATCTGGAATGGGAGATTCTTTGCTTAATAGGCCATCAGCTGAGGGTGTGTGTGTGTTTTTAGATGTTGTTCTAATAAGCACAGAATTAAAACAAGCTTGTTTGCTGCAAGAAAGGGTGCTTTGTGATGTTACGAGTAAGCATTATGCATTCCACTCAGGGCACAGAAGTAGACCATGTATAAACAGGGACAGAGGTGGTTTTAGGGTAGTGTGGCTGGTGTAGCAGTACTGGGCGCCAGCACCCAGTGGCATAGCATAGGAGGAGCAGAGGGACAGTGGCCCTGAGTGCAAACCAGGTGCCCCCGTCACTGAGGCTTCATGACTAAGCGCCTGCTGCCTTCCAAAGCTGTGGGGAGGCAAGCCGCAACCCCTTGCCAGGCCTTCAGGGCTGGGACACATGCACTTCAGGGCTGGGACACAACACTTCCCCTGCCCCGGGCACCAAAAACCCACACTATGCCACTGGCAGTATCACAGGGGTGCTACAACACTGATGTAAACTGAGCGAGAAATGGGGGGAGGGCATCAAATTGTAGCATCACACAGAGCACCACTGAAATTTGAGAGCCCAAAGTCTACCACTGATGGGATTGGGGTAATTTGTTTTCTGATTTGCCTAGCAAATACTTTCCAGAAGGAATAGCAAACATGCAATAGGGGAGGGGGGGAGTCAAGTAAACTCTTAACACAACCGTGTTACATCTGCATTGGCAGAAATAGTTGCTAACTTGCCTTCACCAAGCAGAGGGATTTGGGGGGAAATACGTATTAGAGCTAATCATCAGGAGTGTGTTGCAATTCGTGACTCTAATAAAAGGCACATGACTTCACAGGGAGCTTGATTCTGAATACCTTTTCCCTGAAACAGCACTAATGAAGGCTTTAAAATAAATAACCGAGAAGTTTGGTAATGTTATTACTCCTATTACAAAAATATTCAGTTTATATACTAAATGTTTAAAAAAGGAACTAGCTTGTTTTACTTTTCTAATTGTCTAAAGTGTTACCAACTTTTCTAATTTAAAAGCGTGACCAGTCCTACGCCTGTTTTACACAGGTGAGTTCAATACAGCTTACTTCCAAGTAAGTGTGCATGTATATTCTGACCATGTTGCAATTGCTAACCGCTGGTAGCACAGGAAATCCAGAGCACGCCTTAGACTCTGTGTATTGGACAGGGTTGTCACGTATCAACTCAGAGACAGGCTTTCCCTTTAAAGCTACTGTATAGAACAGCAAGAGGGACAATGCACCTACAGCCACTTTGCCCCCTTTCCATCTCTGCCTGTAGTTGGACCAAAGAAACTAGCATCCTGCTTTTGCTGCAGTGGGTGGATTGAGACACACTGGCAAAAGGGGCTAGTGGGACAGGTAGGAGCGGAGTTCTGGAACCACATATTTTATCATTCTGTAAGGACAAACAAATAAACATATAGCTGTGTATTCTCCTAGACAGAGAGAATTTTCTCTTTCTGAATGTAGGGAGTTTCTTCTCTGGTAGGGTAGCATGATTTGGTGCAAGTGGTTAATGTATTTGCCATAAATACAGTGACAGAACTTTGTGAAGCAGCCCATCAGGGTGGATTTAAAGCAAAGGTAATTTAAATCAGCGATTTACGTAATGAGGAGGCATCGGAGAGGAAAACACTAATTTAAATGGATCTTTCCACTGGCATTCCCTCGTGTGTTTTCTAAACTAGAGGTTGGGAACCTCCACCCCACAGTCCTTAATAGGCCCACCAGGCCTGCCTGTTAGACCAAGCCATGCCCACCTGCCCTACAGGTGTGGGGGCAGGTAAAGCTGCAGCTGCGCTGAAAGGGCGTTTGCAGTCCCTGTGCAGCTGATCATTGAGGCTTGCAGAGTATGTGCCTTTGCCTACGTGGTTTGATTTCAAACCACCCCCTGCGAAAATGGTTCACTCGATATTATTGTGACGTCAGGTGGTTGATTCCTGAGACACTTAGGACCAGAAGCCATTGCAGTTTGTGAAATTACCGGTAAGTATGAGTATCGAATGACCTGTGCACTGGTCATCATTGTCTCTCTTTCTTTTGAGTGTATTGCTCTTTTTCTGATTCACTCTGCTTTGGCCCTGGTGCACTCACCCTCACAAAAACAATGTCACAAACAACTAGAATGACTAATAGGGTGAAGCAATATTTGTTAAGTTGTTGAGCAAACTGGAAAGGTTTATTTTCATGAGAAGACAGTTAAATGCCTCTGTTTAGTAGTTGGAGTGCACGTATTCGTATGAGAGAAATTGCCATATTCGTTCTTCAGTTATATCTAAAAGCCTTCTTTAACTTGAAGTCTCTGTATTGGTTTAGAGATTTAACTGTAGGATTGATGTGTTTATATTCAGATTATTTGATATTAAAGAATTTACTCTTTCAGAGAAACTTAGTATTCACAATTTCTTCAAAAAGAATTTTTTTAAAAAATACATTTTAAAAATTGGGGTCTTTCTGCAATTTATTTTGAGACTAGAAATTGTTCGGCATAATTAAACAGGATCGTATCCAACTTGCATATGTTGCTGACATTCATTTTTCTATTTGACAAAATTTGCTTCTCTCCTTCTCCCTCTGTTTGTACTTTTTAGTATTTCCTGCTAGCATTTTCTTCATTCTTCTACACATTTTTTTGTACAGCAACTGAAACACTAGTCCTTTGCTGGGTCTAAAAGCACCTGTTTTGACAAGAAGAGTAACTTCCTCCTTATTTGCTACTTATAGTAACTAGATTCATTGTCAAAACAAAAAAAATTCCTTCCAGTAGCACCTTAAAGACCAACTAAGTTACTTCTTGGTATGAGCTTTCGTGTGCATGCACACTTCTTCAGATACACATTGTGTAACTGAAATGGAAATGGAAGAGAGTATATTCTTTGTAGAGCTCCCAGAAACCAAGCCCTAATATTAAAGAGAGATCAGATTGGACCGTCTTATTTTCTTTTCCTTTCCTTTCCGAGGGTGGAGGAATCCATTAGTTGATTACCTTCAACTAGGCCTATTTGATGCGCATCAGTGTAGTGGATTGAAGATTATTAAGGAGACAGGGGGAGACTAGGCCATGTGAGCTGACTCAGTCATCGCACAGCAGCTAGATTGGGCAGAGCCTGCAAGACAGTCCTCTAGAGACTGCTTAGTCAACCTGCACAAGACGGACCTAAACAGTTCAGGAAAATCACCTTTCTTCTTTGGTTCCTGAATATAGCTCTTAACTTAACAATGGACATTTGATTAAAATCTGCTTCATTCTAGTCAAGGCAGAGAAGAATCAGAATGAAAGTGGAACAGAAGCTCTCTTAGACTAGCCAGGTTAGCTCTCTCTGAGACCTCTGGCTCCTAGGCGGTAGCAAGATCGGAGAACTCTTAGTGTGGGGATCACCCTCCAAGCAATACAGAAGGAGTGTCATTGAGTATGTTTTGCCTGCTACAAGTGTGTCGTGGTAATTCAGTGGAATTGAAGAAGTTCCCCGTTTCGCCTCCTCCCATCCCCTCAAAAGTACAATATCTGTTGGAAGGCAACCAGTGTGTTCTGATGTACTCTGCAACTTCTGCAATGTAAGAGTTCTGAACCTCAGAATGTGAGGCAATCCACTGTGTTTGAATTCTTACATCCAAGAAACATTTGCTGGAACTTTGCACAGTGAAAGCAGCTAGGGTAGTATTAAAATGGAGCTGGGGGGGGGGAAGGATATATCCAGTGCTTTTTTTCTTTAAAAAAATGTTTAGGGGTACTCTCATTTTGAATCACCATTTTATAGTTCAAATCGGGGGAAATAAATACAGTAAATGGACAAAAGTACAAAGATTCACAAAATGTTTAGGGGTATGTGTACCCCTGCATACCCCCCCAAAAAAGCACTGGATATATCTCACTTCAGTGCCTAAAATGAGGTTTGAAAAGATGAGGGGGGGGAATATCCAATGAACTGTACATTAGTTAGTCTAATTAGCTCCAGATTTTAATGCTTTCATTCCTCTACTTCTTACAGTTAAGCTGTAGAAAGAACCAAGCAGCTGCTGAAATTTAACCACACTGTTCATACTGAATGAAACTGTAATATTTATATGAAATGGAAGAAGGTTGTTCCACAGTTTAAAAAACATGTCTTTTTCACACCTCAAGCTAATGTATTTCCAAGCATTAGCCCTGCTGGCTGTGCATTCCAATGTGAATGTCCTGAAATCAAGGCAAAGCAATCCAACCCAATGAGGATTTGACCCAGGGTAGACAGATTTAAGTTACAAGTCTCTCTAAGCCTTATATGTAAAAAATGCCCTGAACTTTGGAAGAATTCAGACGAGCCAAATTCTGCAGTGATCATAAATTGTTTGTCAGTATATGAGTGTGCATCTATTTACACTTAAGAAAGGTGAAGGCTTATCCTGTTATAATTTTGCACTTAAAAAAAAATTCCCTTAGGGAGTGAAACAGAAATGTTTGGTGCGTTCTAGCTAATTTTATTGCATCATTAGTTTATGTAAGTAACAGAAGCAACTGGCATTACGAAAAGGAGGAGAGGCTCGTTTTTCTTTTGTAGTGAGACATTGCCCTTTGGCTTAGAACAATGCTAAGGAAGAAGTCACTCCCGGTTCTCTAGTTGCCTGTGTGCAGGCACAGTTGCTCCATGCAACTCAGAAAGAAGAAATCATGTAGCAGCATCCTGGCCCAATATGAACGCAGTATTACAGAAATGATGCAATTTCTAAGTAGCGACAGAGCACTGTGCCACACCCCAGTACAATTTAACAAGCCGGTGCTCCGTTAACCAACCCTGCCCTTTCGTTCCGCCAATTCCTCCCAGCCATCTATTTTCCGAGAAATGTGTATAAACAGGAGTCCGAGGAGAGAGGCTGATATGCCTGGAACATGAAAGCAGCTGACAGGCTGCTAAATAGAGAGCTGGAATGTTGGCTTTTAATCAGAACGACTCCTAATACGCAGAACTGGGGCAGAATAGACGTCACACAAATATTTGTTTTATTTAAACTAATTCAGCAACGGAAACACTGTAAGATATTTGGGGGGGTGGCTTCCCTTACGCTTGACTCAGAGGCTGTAATTACTGCTGAATGCTGTGGCAGGAGTAAGAACCTATCAGTATATAAGAGCTCTTCTCGGAGCCTTGCACTAGCTGTCAATCTGTTACTGGGCCAAGTTCATGGCCTAGTTTATATTGGCATAAAAAGCCTTTACTAGCTTGGGACCAGTTGCCTTGCAAGATCACCGTACCTGCTTCAATCTGTGGTGCTGGCACAGTTACAGATGCCACATAATACTTGTTCAGTGCTGTGGTACCCACACTTTGGAACTCCCTGCCTATTGATGTCAGGCAGTTGTAGGGTTGCCATATGCCCGGAATTTCCTGGACATACCTGGAATACTGCAGTCGGAAGCACAGTCTTGGCAGAAATCAGGAAAATGTCTGGGAAAATCTGGGTGCATGGCAACCCATGTCAGCAATGCTGTTTTTGCTGATTTTCCTAAAAAAATAGCTCAAATACGTCAATTTTGTGTGTGATTTTGCTAAAAAAAAAAAAAGCTCAGCAACATTTGTGTCCAGATTTTCACCTTTTGAAATATGGCAACCCTAGGCAGGTGCCTTTGCTGTACTCTTTTCAGAGCCTGCTAAAAACATTTTCATTCAGACAAGCCTATCCAGACATGCAGAAGCCGAAGTGTGTTTTAATCTGGTCTTAAGTTTATTGTGGGTTTTAATGATTTCTGAATGTTTAAAATACTCAATTAACCGCTTTTACGGACAATTTTATGGCTTTATTCTTTTTGCAAAGCACTTTGAGGTTTTACCGCAATCAAGTGATATATAAATGTTGTGAAATAAATAAAATGTATGTAGCAGCTTTCTGCTCATTGCTTCTTGTGGGCAATAGGAAGTGGTGTAAGTCAGAAAAAAAGGCCAGAAATGGCTTATGGAAACATTTTTGCTTTTGTATTCAAAGCAATCAGTGCTGTGCCACGCCACACAACTTCACTTCCACTTAGGATTTCCAAGTTCAAATCCAGAGCTCACAAATACATTTTAAACAGCTCTCCAGCAGCAAATGGGATGCAGAACATAACTTTGCTTCAAGCCCCTCAGCTGCCTTCCCCTTCTGCCTACTGTGAAGCAAAACAGGTCCTGCTCACTCGTTAACTCACTGCTAACGAAAGGACTACTGCCATTGCCGTGAAATTTATCACCAATGCAGAGTACTTCAAAAGACACACACATGACCTCCCAGAAGCAATTCTGCTTTCACCGTAAATGGCTTGGTATCATTAATGCAATAGCACAAATATTTTCATATTAGCGCCCGTGCTCTTGAAAGGACACAGAGGAGAAGAACCAGATACGTATGTGTGTCACTTTGCACTGAATACTAAGCCTGTTGAGGAGAAATGAATCAAGACGGGACGGGGTGAGGAAGGGGAGGGAAAGGTTTTGATACCTACGCCTGTTAGCGATTGCTTTTCTCTGCTTGTAAATGAGGAGCAGAATGAGAGGAAGGCACAGAATGCCCACAATGCAGGCCCCTGTTGCAAGTGCAGCTGCTGTGACATCTGAAAAAGAGCAAGGAAACAGAGAGAGTCACATCATCAAGCAAGCAGAAAGATTATTCTCATTGCTGGAGGCTGTTGGGTGTGAACTTGGTGGTTTAGATATGAGGCCAAAATGCCCTGAATAGGAAAGCAATTCCTTTATACTAAAAGTGTTGTTGCCTTTGCCACAGTATAATAATATTCCTGTGTATCGAAGTGGATTTTCATTATTTCAGAAATGTGGTGCTCCATCAAAATTTAGTCGAATGTCCCTTAACAATTTTACAAGGCTGTAATCATCATTCAGATGAAAAGAAATGTCTCGAGCATTTGAGAAAGATAACAAATGTAGTTGTATATAAACCTAGGGCAATTATATGATTGCCTACTGGGTTCTTCGTATAGTTGCACTGCTTTCTGTCATACTGAAATGTTATAGAGATGTGGTTGCTCCTGACTTGGAGATGAAGTCAGGAAGAACTTTCTGATAGTAAGAGCTGTTTGACAGTGGAACGGTCTCCCTTGGGAGGTTTTTAAGCAGAGGGGTGGATGGCCTTGGGTCATGGACGCTTTAGTTGAGATTCCTGCATTGCAGGGGATTGGAATGGATTACCAGGGGGGGGGTGTCCCTTCCAACTCTACAATTCTATGATTCTGTGAAGTGATGAGTGTTATGTATTGAAGTTCTCACCCTGGCCACCAGGGGTATCATGTATATAGTTTTCACTCAGGTCCACGTCAGTTAATTTAGGCGGGAAACCCTGGGTGGTGGTTGTTACAATGTTGACAGCCGGCTGCCTATAAAAGCAGGCCGGCTGAGCTGTTTGCTGTTCAGTTCAGTTCCAGCTTACTATAAAGAACCACTTGGAGAAATCTCTGTGTTGTCAATCCACTACTTAATAATGTGAGCTCAGTTTGTTGATGTTACACCAGTTATGCAGTTTAGAGGGCACTGGAGCCCAGAAAAAGATGGCAGTTCTAATCATTTGTGGTCCAAAATACATAAACACCACTGGTTATTGTTTAGCAAGAAACTTTCGCAGGCGGAAAAGGAACTAAACATTTTATTTTGATTAAAACGTAACAAATTTAAATATAAACTCACTATGTGATCCCAGCATACAAATGGGACTGCATGTGTAAATAATAGGAAAATACTTATTTTATATAATTTTAACTAATGAATATTTCCCTATTAACAAAAATCCATCAGCTACATACAGATTATCCCCCAGATTACCAGATTACCCCCTTCTCAGTAGTGGCGCCTGCCTTGTGGAACGCCGTCCCATCAGGTGTCAAGGAAATAAACAACTACCTGACTTTTAGAAGACATCTGAAGGCAGCCCTGTTTAGGGAAGTTTTTAATGTCTGATGTTTTATCATGTTTTTAATATTCTATTGGGAGCCACCCAGAGTGGCTGGGGAAACCCAGCCAGATGGGCGGGGTATTAATAAAAAGAAAAAGAAATTATTATTATTACTATTATTACTATTTTATTATAGATGCCTACTTGTATTTATTTACTCAAATTGGCAAGTTTGGGGAAATTTTAAAAAATTATGATATTTTGAAGGGTATTCCAAATTTCTTCAAAAATGCTTGAACAAGATATTTTGTTCAGCCCCTTTTGCCAGTACAAAAAAGAAGTGGGGGAGACACTGCTGTAATAGCAAATACTGGACTTGATCCAAAGTCAATGCAAAGGCACTTGGTAGTTTCATCGCCCTTTGGGCTCAGATTCATGATAAGCTAATGGCATTTAATCGCATGCAAAGCTCTCTGCCTCATTTGCTAGACCACAACTTCCTAAACCTTTATCAACTTCCAACTTGACTTGGCAAGCTGTGTTTTAGTCCAGCAAATACTATTTACTCTGCATCTGTGCAGATTTAATCAAGGCAGTGAAACCCAAAGCCTGATAGGTAAATGCAAATTCCATGCCAGCAGCCTATTTTTATTTACAGATATTACATAGTGTCTAGATTATAGACAGGACAGATCTGTCTCGAAACAGATATGACTAGTATGAGTTAGACTTGTTGAAACACAGCTGTCTGACTGAGAAAGAGAAGGGAGAAAAATGTTCTAAGCATTGCCGAATCGCAGTGAAAGAGCAGCTTTCATTCACACAGAGCTGCTTCCAAGTAGTTACAGCACCTATGACAAGTATATTCATCCAGTAATGAATCAGCCAAGTTAGTGAACAGTGAGAACATGGAGCTCAGAGGTTGTCTGGTTTTTCTGCAACAATATGAAGTTCTACTCTCTGGTCCTTTTAAAAATTAAAGATACCACATATTTAGCGAACAAAACTTGTAGGGAGAAGAAAAGTGTCAGAATTAGTTGGGCTGGAATAGGTTCAGTAATATGTGTAAGATGCAGAACAAGAGTCAAGACCTGTTTATTCAACTCCCATGAGCAAGGGTGGAAAACTTCCTTCACATCAGGCTGCAATTTGAAGGGTTGCATATTTTTCCACAAAAATGAGATCTCCTGCATGTGTAATACAGGAACATGTCAATGTGGGGATGTTTTCCTAGAGACTTTTTCCTGGAAAGGGAGGTGGTGGCAATTGAAACGTGCAACTTGACTCATTTGCTGCTTGAAGAACTTTGCTGGAACTGTAGGAAGTCAAGCTCTGTCTTTATGCATGTTGTCTAGAGAAATCTCCAGAGATTTAGAATTGCCTCTCGACTGGTAATAAGCTATGTTTCCCAGCATGTGTGGGAAATGGAAGCTTTGTTTTTGAAGATGTGGAATATAGTGTAGAACAAAGAGGTTCTTAAAGCTCCCACCCTGAGCCATTAAGGACAAACTAAGAAAGCAGATGTGAGCTCCTGGCCTAAATCTGGCTAGGAGGTACAACTTTACTAGGACCTTCAGAGTTGCTTTAGGAACATGTCTGAGAGCAGGTTTTTGTTCCCTTTTTCAAAAAGTGTTTTGTTATCAGAAGTTCCACAGAAGTTCCACTTATCTCATGCAGTCTTGTATTCAATGATGATATAAGATCTGTAAACGCCTGTAGCAGCATTACCACAGATTTGTTAGCTCATATTTATAAATTTGTAATTAATATTGTGAAAACAAAAAGAAAGGATAGCTCAGTTGGTTAGAGCGTGATGCTGATAATGCCAAGGTTGCAGGTTTGATCCCTGTATGGGACAACTGCATTTTCCTGCATTGCAGAGGGTTAGACTAGATGATCCTAAGGGCCCCCTCCAATTCAATGATTCAGTGATTAAGAAAACACTGTAGCCTTACTGTAAGGCCAAGGTATGGCATTGCTAATACGAAAGCACTGTTTCTCCAAACAAAGCATATCCACATACAGCACAAATACTAAAATGTCCTTTCAGATCATTTTTGTTTCCTTGAACTGCCCACTTATTTCATCGTCCAAGTCCCTGTTGTTTCCCAACTACATTGGGTTGTTCAGAGATTGTCACAAGGGATCAGCTACTTTCTATGGAAGCTCAAATACCATACAGCTAATGATGACTGTATGAGAACAAACTCTGCAGATCAGAACACAAAGGTTTTACTACCAGCGGACTTTTGATTCTAGTCCTTCATGAGCACCTTGGAACAAATACTTCCTCCAAATTTACTTTGCAGATGAATTCAAGGTGTGGAGCAAATAGGTTAAGACAAATTAGAGAGAACCTGCCCTTCATGACAAGCTACTGTCTGATCTTTTTTTTGCAAATGCCCTCCGTTATTCATACGCACTATTAATTGAACCCTGAACTTCTCCAGGTTAGTTCTTGCTCAGCTTTATGAAGACGTTACTCATTGGAAAGAGGGAATGAATGTAACAACGTACATCATATGAAATGATGTACTGTAGCTGGACTACAACATGACAACTTTTTTCCACCTTGTGCTTGATGCTAGAGAGCCTTAGATGCCAATAATCTACATATATATTTGGCCTAAATCATCAGGAAGAGCTGCCAGCAGTTGCCATTGCTTTGCATGCAGAAGGTCCCAGCTTCTGATATTTCCAGGTGGAACATTTCCAGACAGTGCGGGGAGTTGGACCAGATGACCCTTGGGGTCCCTTCCAAGTCTGCAATTCTATGATCCTGTGACTGAGGAAATCCTGCTGGAAAGCCTAGAAAGGAACTTGGGGCAGTGTAAACAGTACTGAGCTAGATGGACCAATGGCCTGACTCTGTATCTGGCAGCTTCCTAAAATATACACCAGAGTTACAACCAGCTCTTCCCAGGGAAAGGGAGGCTGCCCCATCAAAAGCAAGGTGCAACTAAGATTTACAACCCTCTGTTGCTGTAATAGATGTCTGCCTCCCACCAAGCCCCTGTGCTGCATTTTGAAGTGAGAGAGCAAATATTTAACATATATAGAACACCAATAATGCCTCAGGCACTGCCTCCGAGGGCTTACAGTCTTCAATAAATACGTACGGGGCAAGGAAATGTTAGTTTGGGACAGGCAAAATAAACTGGGCAGGGTTGGGGAGAGTTAGGGAAAAGTTAGTGAAGGTTTGTTCAGAAAAGGTGCTGCTAAAGATATGAATCTTGAGAAAAGCAGGAAACCACCAGATTAATAGTGCACAGGAAGCTACTTCACATGCATGAAAGCAATAAATCAGATGAGGCCTAAAGAATGGAGGAGATAATGGCTAATATGGGGGGATTAGGCAAGATGGTCAAGTCTGAGCCTGTAAGGCAGTGCAGGGAGACAGGTAATGAGATAATAAATAAATAAATAAATAAATAAATAAATAAATAAATAAATAACCACCATGAAAAGAAACAGAAACAGAATATGTAATCTGCACTCATTTAAAGAAAACGATTTGTCTGAGTTGCAAAGGTAGTCTTACTTTCACTCTCCATGCTGGCAGCAGAATGAAGTGTGCAGTTTGGGAAAGTAGCATTTGCTGTAAAATAAAAGAAATAGTTGTTAGTTTCTTGGAAAGTCAGTTCTTGCGTGGTCTTTTGAAAAAGGGACGAACATAATGTGCTGGTTTGGGTGAGAATGAACATAGCGTCCTGGTTCACTTTCACCTCCTCCCCCAATGTGGCCACGAGGAGGAGTTAGGAAGCTTTCCCTTCCGATAAACGTCCAATCAGAGTTAATGAAACTGGTTTGTTTTCACAAGTTAAGATGAACCACAGTTTGAGGTTCAGATGGCATGCTTTGCTAAACCGATTAATCTAAAGCAAAATATAAAAAAGGCTTTTGATATTCCCCTCACAGCTATGCTGGAGGAGAGGAAAGAGAAGACAGCATGAGGCTAGGGGAGGCTAGGCTCATTCTCGTAACATTAAACTGAGTTAGCATTATGTCTGAATAGCCAGTCGCTACAGAACGGACAAATCTCAAAGTCTTGGAGGCTTCCTAAATTTTTATTGGTATAAAATGATTATATATGATTCGCTTATTATAACTTCAAAGCATACATAAGATTGCAACCCAATTCTTAAAAATACAGGAAGAAATTCCGGGGGGGGGGGCTTTTAAAATTCACTTCATGCCCTGTTTTTAAGATGACTTTTTCATGTTCCTGAGAATAATCTTTTTAGCCTATCAGGAATCATGGGTTAGGATGATGTCACACCAGTGGTGTAGCGTGGGTTGTCAGCACCCGGGGCAAGTAATTTGCGCCCCCTAACCCGTGGATTTGTGCCCCCTAACCCGTGGATTTGCGCCCCCTAACCCGTGGATTTGCGCCCCCTAACCTGTGGATTTGCCCTAACCCCAGATGTTGCGCCCGGTGCGGCCGGCCCCCCCTGCACCCCCCACGCTACGCCACTGTGTCACACTATGTAGCCAATCAGTTAGTTGTGTGACAGCATCACTAAGCCAGTCAAGGCAGTCAAGCCTATCTATGGAGCAACATCTGAAAAACCATCAGATAATGACATTTTCATCACTGTCAGATTGATTTTGTGTGTGTGTGTGTGTGTGTGTGTGTGTGTGTGTGTGTGTGTGAAGTGTCCCTAAGTTTGGTTCAGTTCTAAGCCTTCTCTTTTGATTACCCCCCCCCCCGCCCCCGCCGCCGCAATGGTAGTCTACAGTTTTTGATTGTTAGGATGGCATTCGACTAAGCTTTCCACATAGTGCAAAACTGAAATTATTGAACATAACTAAGCACTTTAGGCTTGATGGAAGGGATGTAGCTCCGTGATAAGAGTATCTTCTTTGCATGCAAAAGGTCCCAGGTTCGAATCCCCGGCATCTCCAGATTAGGGCTCCCTGGAGAGCTGCTGCCATTGGGCCAGTGATGTGACTCAGTAGAATGCAATTTCTTACGTCAGTTAAGTCCATTAAGGGACTCTCTCTGAGTAAAACTGGGTTGAATACCACCACCCTTTGTGTAGGACCATCCATGCCAATAGGTTTGTATGTGTGATTCTAGGAGAATATGAAACAGGAGAAAATATGGCTTTAGCTATATCTGCTTTGTGTACAAAGTTCACCTGCCTTTTTGTATCCGAAGTTCCATGAAACCATGAGCCTGCTGCTTGGCGTGTGCTTTGTTGTGCTCCTTTTCAGCTTCCACCACGTAGCAACAGTAGTTCCCACTGTCCTTGAGAGTAAGGTTTGCCATGGTGACATAAAACGTCCCGTGGTGATCCGAGGAGAATTCCAAACCATGGTGGCTCACGCGCTGCCCGCTGTGCTTCTCTGATTCATGATGCAGCTCCTTTGCTGAGACATTGCGGACATGTTTTTTCTGGGAGCAGCTCTGGTCTCCCTGGTTGCTGAAGTACCAAAATTTGTAAATGGAATCGTGATGGGATGCCAGAGACCCACTGAGCTTGCAAGTCAAGGTGACCTTCTGACCCTCAGGGCAGATATAGAGCGCGTAAGGAGTGGTGATTTTAAAGGTTGTTGACTGTGCTGCAGGAAGAAAGTAGAATGTTAGAGAAGCATGTGAGAGATTCAACTTAGTGTGTCAAGTACAGAGAGGCATTATTGTTTCCATTACACGAGAGAAAATGTGACTCACTGAGTGCAACATTCTGGTAAATGAAGCAGGGGCTTCTGGTGCAAATGAAACTGTACGTTTATTAAAGTAAAAATAAATGATCACAGAATATTTTTATTGGTGGTCACCTTTATGTGCAACAGCACCAACAGACCTTTTCATTCAGGAGCCTATAACCTGATATATTTCTGATGCCACAAACTGCTGTAAAGTTCACAGTTACATTTCACTGAAATCAATTAAACATGAGCCAAGAAGAGGAGGAGGAGGAGCTATGAGCCAGAGTGTTTTGTAGAGACTGGACCATTTCTACTTGAAGACGTTCAGAGCGTGAGTGTCTTAAGACATGCTTGCTGATATTTGTGTCTACCTTTACCCCCGTTCCTAAATAGAGCCACTTTCCTTTTAAAAAAAGGAACAGCTGTAGTTCTTGGCCTCACCTCACCCCTCAAGGCCAAATTGCTAAAAACTCATTTAGTTTTAGAAACAGTTAAGGCTCAGACTTCTTAAAGTAAAAACAAAAAAATTCATCTGGAGGGATCACCGCAGACAAATGTTTGCTATTGAGTAGTTCACAGAACCTTGATAAACTGCGGCTCTTCATGTGGAATTGATTTGGATTGTTTAGAAGGGTTGTCAGTTCCTGCAGGGATATAAAACAGCTGCATATTTCCATGTTAATTCATTTAAGTGTATGCATATTTAGGATTGCCTGTTGACTCATATTTTTGCCATCTGAGAGGCGGTGGGTGGATAAACAGCTACAGATCAGTTCAGTACTTGGGACAGCCAGCATAAAAGCTGCATTCAGCTCAGTTGCAATATTTGGATACATCTATCACCCCTAAGTGGTATATTGGTGCAATTTGCCTTAGAAATAGTTCAATGCAACATGCATACAGCACGGCTATCCATTTAGCACAGGGGTGAGGCTTGGGGAGGCCGGATCTGACCCTCCAGGCCTGTCTGTCTGAAACCCCCTCAAACACACCCATTTTCCTCAGGCCACACCCATAGCTATCCCTATTTGACACTTTCCTTAAGTGCTTTTGCCTGACTGGAATCTGAACTTTGATAATGTCTCTAGCTTGCTTCGATGGAGAAGAGAATAACAGGTGTTTGTTGTTGAAGTTGTTGGCATCCGTGTGTCTCAAGAGACTACTGTAACAAACATAAAATTTGCATCTATTGTTCTTCCCACTTTTGCCTCTCGCCTTGCCTGCCAGGAGAATGTGGTCGCAAAAAGGCAGTTGTGGTTGTTGGCTCTGAAAAAGCTTCCCTGCCCCGATTTAATGTGTTCCATCCCTTTTGTAACCACCAACTTTTAAAAAACTGCAGTATCCTTTTGTTTTGTTGTTAATCTATGTGGTTAAGTAACTTCTGGCTTTTAAAAATCTGAAGAGTCTGCTGGTATTAACAACAAAATATGTTTTCAATTAACTGCAGCAACATCCTGTTTTGGGGTTTTATGGCTAGCGCTTTAAGGTGTGTGCAGGTTGTTGTTAAGTTTCATATCTTGCCTCTCCCAGTGGCAGAGTAATTCTGCAGTTCACCAAGCACTTCCTGCTGCAGGAGGAAGCCCTGCAGCACTAAGTCATTGAAGAGGGTTGGGGGGGGGGAATGGCACGAAGAGGCAAGCCTCTTCTTGCATCCCCCCTGTCACCCCGTGCTCGGTTTTTGTCTACAGTGGTACCTCGGGTTAAGAACTTAATTCGTTCTGGAGGTCCGTTCTTAACCTGAAACTGTTCTTAACCTGAGGTACCACTTTAGCTAATGGAGCCTCCCGCTACCGCCGCTCGATTTCTGTTCTCATCCTGAGGTAAAGTTCTTAACCTGAGGTACTACTTCCGGGTTAGCCGGGTCTGTAACCTGAAGCGTCTGTAACCCAAGGTACCACTGTACTTCCTTCAAATCTTCCCAACACTGCAGGAGACTATTGGATAAATTTGAGGTAGCACCACAAAAAGGCACAAGACTTAATGGATTCCGCTCCCCCTTCAGCAATATGATTGGGTCCCTGGGTACTTTATATTGAAATTTACAGTTGGAGAAGGTTGGGAGCAGTGCTGTTTTTCTAGAAAAAGAGGTGCCGGAGCTCACCATGAACTTCTCCCTTGTTCTCTTCAAATGGCAATGGTGCCCACCTGAGAGGTACTGGAGCTGAGCCTCTGTGAGCTCCAGATGGGGGAAAAGACCCTGGCCGGGACAGATGAATTTCCTTAATTTGTAGAAAGCTCTAAAAAAAATTTCACTATTACAGATCTTGTACACTTAAAAAGAAGATTAAACTGCAATTTAATTTTTTAGGCTAATTTGGGGAGCAGTGAGTGATTGAGGAGAGAGGGTGAGGAACCCACTCCCGTGATGTCTTCTGTCAAACTTCACCCGCTGGCATGGACAGCAAGCAATGGAATAGTAATGAATATGCTGACTTTAAAAAGGGAGTGTGTGAACTTGATGATTAATTCATTGAACAATTAACCATAAATGAGGGTACAAAGGTCTTGGGTGAAACCATGCCTCCCTCCCACCATTTCTGACTTAATTGCGTTTAAATTCGCCGAATAATGCAACACAGATGATGCTAATGTTCCATGGATCTTTGGGACACAGTATGATTTTACTTCCTTGACTTAGGCTTAATTAAACCTAAATGTCAGAATATTTAAATGGCAGTGAGCAAGGCAAATGTCAAAATGCCTGTGTGACTATCAACCAAATATCTTACAACGAACACTTAACCTTTTTTGTGTGTGTGTGTGTTGTCTAAATACAGCAACACTGTGTGGCACTGCATGATATGGTAGTGGTATCTCAGTTCAGGGTGACAGAAGAGGGGGGTGGGGAAGAAACCCATGCATATAAGTTGATAACACTGTATAGCAGTGAGGGGGGGGGATATGTGCACAGGTTATCGGAAGCTCCTTTGCAGCCACAATTATTACTTCCCCTGTAACAGACGTCAGTAAACTAGTGGCGTCAGTTTTCACTTAGATGACACGGAAGACATAGTTTAAAATTTGGGGAGGGGGGAGGAATTGGGGAAAACATTGTGTGTAGTTTAGCATAAGTCCACTTTCCCCCCAAAATGGTTCATCTTCCTACGGCACCTTCCTCATAAACAAGAAAACGCCTGCTTTCTTAAAGGATATTCTTGTTCCTCCTCCACCACCTGTAGTCAGTCAGCATTCTATGCCACTGAGCATACACAGACTTCGCTGAACTGTTCTTGGGAGCTTTTCACCCACCTAAGTTGTTCCCCTTAAATATATGTTATATTTCTGCAAACCTTGGAACTCCCCCAGGCATGCCGATATCTTCCTCCCGGGTGTGGATGTGCTTCAAGTTCAGCACTTGGAAAATGACTTTGCCATTAGAAGAAGAAGAGTAGAAGAGTTTGGATTTGATATTCCGCTTTATCACTACCCGAAGGAGTCTCAAAGCAGCTAACATTCTCCTTTCCCTTCCTCCCCCACAACAAACACTCTGTGAGGTGAGTGGGGCTGAGAGACTTCAAAGAAGTGTGACTAGCCCAAGGTCACCCAGCAGCTGCATGTGGAGGAGCGGAGACGCGAACCCAGGTCCCCAGATTACGAATCTACCGCTCTTAACCACTACACCACACTGGCTCTCTATCATTAATATATAGAATGAATGCTGCAGCTTCCTCTCTGTGTTCCAGGAAGATGCTGAAAATTCTCTGTTGGAATTTTCTGATATCTCTTAGAGAGCTCCGGCTCCCTGTCCAGAGCTATTGTTTGCACACCCTCTAGGGAGAGGGAATAAATGCGGAACCCGTTGCGCAACTCTTAATGAAGTAGTTCCTTATGCTACACAGCGTAAACATGCCCTCGGTGAAGGGGCTTTTTTCCCTTTCCATGGACCGTAATAAGGAAGTCGCACAAGAAGGGCGTCCTCCCTGTATTTCAGCCAGCACTTTTAAGTGTCAGGATGCAAGGCGTGTCACTTCTAATGAAGTCTTTCTTGCTAGGAAATAGAAAAGGCAGCAAACTGAATACAAAATCAGTTTAATGGGATTCCTGAAGCTGAGGCTCCAATACTTTGGCCACCTCATGAGAAGAGAAGACTCCCTTGAAAAGACCCTGATGTTGGGAAAGATTGAGGGCACAAGGAGAAGGGGATGACAGAGACGAGATGGTTGGATAGTGTTCTCGAAGCTACCAGCATGAGTTTGACCAAACTGCGGGAGGCAGTGGAAGACAGGAGTGCCTGGCGTGCTCTGGTCCATGGGGTCACGAAGAGTCGGACACGACTAAACGACTAAACAACAACAAGATTCAGAATGCTTTCCACTGCTTTTCACAATTGGGATTTGAAGGTATAGAGCTTCTCCAACTTTCTAGATAAGGGAGCTTATTCCATGAGTGGCTCAACAAGACTACTCAGTGGCAAACAAAAAGGAAGTATTTAGTACATGATGCTCTATGTACTAAGCGTATTGGCAAGGCAGCTATGGCAGTGGCTCACCTGTTTAAAAGGGTGTGGGAGAATGTGATGCTAACAACCAATACCAAGATGAAGGTCTACCAGGCTTGCGTGTTTTATGGGAGTAAGTCATGGGTAACCTACAACCACCAGGAGTGATATCTCAATGCCTTCCACATGCACTGCGTCAGGAAGATTTTGGGCATCACATGGCAGAACAGAGTCTCAAGCAAAGATGCACTGTCCACACTCCTATCTCAGCAAGGTCTATGCCAGCTTGGCCATGCCCACAGAAAGGAAGATGGCAGGCTCTCCAAGGACATGCTCTATGGAGCGCTGGCTTCAGGTATTAGGCCTGTTAGCAGACCACCTCTGTGTTACAAAGATATCAGCATGCAAGACGTGAAGGCTGGCAACATCAGCCCTGCTGTGTGGGAATCCCTTGCAGATGACCACAATGGCTGGAGGCAGTCAGTCAGGCCGTGCATGCATAGCAGAGTGACCCGGAAAGGAATGACCACTGCAAGGAGCGCAGAGAGAAGAAAAAGCCATGATGTATCTGCAGCAGCACAACCAGATCTGCCCCAGCTGCAACAAAACATGTCTCTCCTGTATCTGCCTCTACAGCAACAGCAGACACTATATCTCTGACAGTTTGACTTCACCCGCAAAGGCACACTCCTCCATTGTCTCTTGAGATAGACAGATAACAACCAACAACAGGAGGGGTGAGCTCGCATGTGAATATAAGAGGACCCCCTCACAATCCTTGCCTCTGGGAAGCCCGCATGTGGCAGGGCACAAGGTAGAAATGAATGGAACCACAACAGTTCCAAATCCATTCCATCAGCATACATATTTTACAGGGGAAATCCATAAAAATCGGAGAGCAAATACAAATGTGGGTGGAGGGGGGTAGGGGTTAATGTAAGCACTAAGGCAGTTAGGGGGGCTGCAGCGCTGCTGCCTGAGTGTTTTAATTTCTCTTTGTTTCCCTTTGGCAAAGCTCTAGAATGCATCCAGCTGCTCACAGCAACCACTTCCCAGGACAGTGTGGGGACAGGGGCCGTGGCAAAGCTTAGAGATCTTTGAAATATCAAGTGGCATAGAAATGCTCATAAATAAATAATATTGGGGCTGCCTGTGCAGCTGCTCCAGGGATGCTAATCCATCCTTGCTGCTGATGCACCCATGCAGTCCCAACTTCATTACCACCTTGCCTCATCGCCATCCTGGTACGCATCATTGAAACTGACGTCAGGAAGGGGGGTTTCATGGCTCCGCCCCATGGTGCCAGCCACTCCTGCTACTAACTTAAGACTGTAGGAAATCTGGGCTGGCCCTGCCACCAGGCAGCTGATTCTGGGTATCATGAAAGCGCAGCAAGTTAAGTCTTTAATTTTATTATTATGATATATTTTAACAAAATTTCTATACTACTTGATTGCAAAGAAAACCCCACAACACAACATAAAAGAACCTCTAAGCTTTTACAAAAGTATAAAACAAAACATTAAAATTCCTGTTTTATATATATATATATATATATATAAAAAAGTTAAAAACAGGTATTAAAAAAACTTTCAAGAGAAGATGGTTCAAATTAACTAAAAAAGTTTCAAAGGACATGTAGCTTCTACCTTACTGGATAGGCTTGCCTAAACAAAAAGGTGCCAAAAAGGAGTCAATAGGCAGAGAGTTCCAAAGTGTAAGTAGTATTATGTGTTACCTAGAACAGTTGCCCATTGTGAAGATCAAAACAGTCAAGTGGGGAATTATGGATTGAGGCAACCAACCCCACAGGTAAACTGGTCCCTAGATGTTAAAGGCTTTGCATACAAGTAGTAACAGTTTGAACTTGGCCCGGTCCTTGAACTGTTGTGGCATTTTTACTGCCAAGGAGGGAAAGGTGGTTATGGTATTTTCTGCCTCAGATGCCACGATAACTCAACTGGTCTTAAGCACCGGGGGAGGGGAGCATTTGATGCTCCCACCTTAGGAAAAATATTGATCTGACACTGTTCAGTAGTTTTCTCATCCTTCTTACACAGTTCTCATCATCATGCTCTTTCTCAACCTCTTGGAAAAGTTGACAATCAGATACGTAAGTGCTTGGGGGGGCAGCTGTTTTGTTTGCATTTTAAACAAATATTCAGAGCTATATAATATTCTTTGTTATCTCTTGATTAGATGCCTTTAACGCAAAGTTCCTTCAGCCTCATAAAAACTCTTGAGAAGCAGAATATTAATATTTACATTTATACATGCAGAATTGAAAGACAGTTATTTGCTCAACACCACCAAGTGAATTCACAGCTAAGCAAAGATGTAACCTTGCACAGATGCAAGCCCATTGCTGTCTGTCAGACTGTGCTAGCTAACTTGCTGACTATTTCGACAGCTTGTCCAAAGGAGAGGAGCAATTGTAAACCGAAATAATCTCATTATTCCCTTGCTGTTCCTCTCCCTTAAAACATGATTTGCAAGGCATCAGTGACTTTAATATTTTTTCAGTGATCTCAGCTGAGCCCCAGTTACCAGGAAAAAAAACAATCCTGTTTCCTCCGCATTCAGCAAAAAGCCCTTTAGGCATCACATATGACATAGCGGCCTTGCAGTAAAGTTACCTGAGGGATATTTAAAAAAACCCAGTTGAAGGCCTAAAAGTTGGTCTGTAGCCAACTCTGGACTTCAAACCCCACACATGCAAATATGTACACAGCTGGTTGTTGTTTTTTTAATGGCCAGCTCTAGAGCCAGAAAGACACAGCCAAGCAGGTAAGGATACAGGTGTGTGGGTGTTCCAAAGGCTTTGCAACTCATACAAGCGGATTGGCACAGGCATCCCTGTGGGCCGCCAAGATGCTCTTTTTGGAACATCCCTCACCTGTTGACAAACTTCATTCACCACTAGCCTGGGAACAACTGCATCCTGCAAATACTTCAGAGTCACCAGCTCTGCTTTTAGCTCGCTCAGCCTGCATTTGGGGATGGATGGGGGTGGGATAAGCCAACGATGCCCACCCACTCACCTGCCCTGGGTGGAAGAAGCGCAGCGAGGAAGGGGGGCAAGAAAAGGGGAGGAAGGTTGCTTCAACAACTCCATTTGGTTTCCTCCCACCCCACCCCTCCCGCCACCCAATCCACATTAGCAGCAACCTTCCTCGCTGCTTTTTAAAGCGCCTCTCTCCAGCCAGGTAGCCTCCCAGGGAAGGGTGCAGAGCGGGAGGGTGGGGTGGGGGAGGCTCCATCCCCGTCGGGAATCCTTGTCCCTCAGGCCAACCCAGTGGGAATGCAAATGCGCGGGTCTTGGCGCAGACCCAGCTGCGCCCTCCAAGGCTCCCCGCCTGCCCTTACCTCGAGGGAGAGCCAAGGCAAGCGTCAGCAGGAGCAGCGGCGGCGGGACTCGCCGCTTCCTTGCCTCCTGGTCCATGCCGCGCGAGGTGAAAGAATAGTAAATAATAAATCCCTTTTCCGCTCGCCGCTCCCCTCTGGGTGGGTCTCTCTCCAGCGGCTGGCGCCCGGAGCTGGGCAGTCCCGAAGCAGAGCCGAGAGGGAGTTGCAAAACTCACAGGAAATTTCAGCAGCCCAGATGCGCAAACCCAGCGCGCGGGGGGTGGGGGGGTGTGCGCGCGCTTTGGACCGGGCGGGCAGCGCGAACGAAGGGCGCCCCCTGGAGGCCGAGAGAGAAAGCGGGTATGCTTCGCGCATGTGACGCATCGATTTGACAGGTTGGCAGATTATCCCGTCTGTAGCGTGCAAACTTCGTCAGAGCATCCTCCCGCCCCCGCCAGTTATTTATTTGTTTAACAGGATTTATATACCACTTAATTATCAAAGCCTCTAACCTTTTTTTTTTCCCTTTCAGAAGAAAAGTAGGTTGCAAAGAGTTGTTTGATGCAGACAGGTTTTGCTCTTAGGGTACCAGAGAATTTGCACTTGAGCACACTGCCTCTTGCTAGAATTGGGGCTGGTGGGGTAGCCTTAAGGGAGGGGGAGGGATTGAAAGTTAACAATGTAGAAAGACGGTGTAGCTCAGAGGTAGAACACACCTGGACAGATGCAGCCACCACCACTTCCAATTATTGGCTCTTGGGCAGGAATGAGGTAGACCAGAAAGCCCCTGCCAGCCAGAGTAGGGAATATTGAGGCTTGATGGACTTGGTAAAAGGCAGTTTTGTATCAAACATTTGAAACCAATACTTGAAACAATCGCCAGGTGCTTGTCAATCATCCCAGTGCTTTTTCTCTCGGCATCTGGTACTTTTGGAGCTGAAAGTAGATTTGCTTATTACTGCACAAGTTGTGCACAAGTGTGTGTGCTTGTGTGGTGGTGAGGAAGTGATCTTCGGAGACACGTGGTATTAATTTATTTTATTTGCTTATGTTTGTGAGTCAAGTGAATATGTCAATCAGCTTAAGCTCCAATGGTTTATGCAGTGCTTGGCTTTCTCTCTGTGTGTCTCTCTTCCTTTCTCTCAACTGTGCTTTTAAAAGATGCTCTTTGATTCTGACATAGCAATATTAAAGTAACCAGATAAAATAGTAAGTTGAGATGGCGCGACTTTGAAGACAAGAGAAGAAAGATCAAAAAGAGTACAAAGGGAAAGGAGATGTCATGCTCACACGTGAAAACCGAGCAGGGAAAGTTGCAAGGGGCTCTTAGCAAAGATGTCTTTTGCGTGATCAGAGAGCGCTTCAACCACAAGATGTTGCATAATTGCTCTGCTGTGTACCATGTTGTTACATGATTTCCTGGAGCTTTGTCTAGGAGATGTTGCAGAAACAGTGTGTGGCCAATTAAACTGATTGGGCTGGTTGGTCTTATCTGAAAGGCAGTGCTGCTTACAGTAGGCTTTGAGGCCACTTTTTCAATCTACTCAACAGACAGGTACAATTTGAAGAATGCAGCAAACCTTTGATGTATTGAATCAGCCCTTGCTTCTGATAAGAAAGGAGGAAAAGGGAGTTGATTTGCATGAGCAGACCATCCTGCTGAAACAGTTTCTGAAATCTAGCCTGAAAGGGAGCTCATGTTCCATTAATGATGTCTTGTCAGGGTATTCAGTTTGAATTTGTTAAGAGCAGCAGCGCTGAAGGTGCTTAACACTTCCTCTGATCTAAATCTTCTCTCCAAGCTGCTATTAGCCCCACAAGGGACAATGATAAATACTTGGTCCATGTATTATTATTTTTTTACCACAGCAGCTGGGGGGAGGGCGCATTTGGATTGGGGACTAGTTAAACATTCCCTTCCCAAGCACAGCTGCTCTGATCAAATTCAGAGTTCCTTACACTTGTTTTAAAAAAAAAGTAAACATTGGGAGTGTTAGGCTGCAATCCTAACTCTGCTTACCTGGGACTAATCCCTAGTGAATTCAATAGGTCTTATTGTTAGAATTGCACGGCCATTCTTCGATTTCCTTCATGACATGTGGTTTGTCCCCAAGTCTTCTTTTTTCATGGAGAACTTTTCGTCTGTACTTCTCTCCATAAATAAGAAATAGCATTCTTCTGCAAAGCAGCTTGCCCCATAACAGGGAAAGCCAAACTCCCTGACCACATGTATTTCAAGGTGGGCGGTATGTCCAGAAGGTATATCCTTACTTGCTGGCTGTGGAGGAAGTGCACAGCAAGGCTCTGTGTGAGAGTTTTCCTAAATCCTCTTGGTTTATTAGATTTGGCTTTTGACCTTGAGGTGCATACAGTTTTAATTCAGGAATAGAGAGGTAGGGGTGGCCAACAACTTGGATGGCTTCAAGAGAGGATGAGACAACTCATGGAAGATGAGGCCAACACTGGCTTGCTTCTACCTCATCCCAGAGAGAATGCATATGAATACCAGTTGCTGGAAATCTGGGGGGGGGGGTGCTGCAGGTACTTCTTATGGGCTTCCCATAGGCATCTGGTTTGACCACAATGAGAATAGGATGCTGGCCTGATCCAGCAGCCTGTTCTTCCTTTCTTAAGCATTTTCCTTTCTTCCTCTTAAATCCCATGGGATTCATATTTGATTTCAGAATGGGAGAAAAATGCAGTTTTCGAAACACAAGATGCAGACCAGATTGACAAAGTTTGCCGCCCTCTGTTTAAGAATGGCAAACCCAAATGGATATATTTCGTCCAAGTCCTTCAGAGTGGACCCAAAATTTACAAAGGAAAAAAAGAGAGAGTTAATAGTTTTTTGTTTTAGAAGTCTGTTGTGGAATTAGTTGAACATTCTGTAGTTTGCTGAGAGCATTTTGCATGGCTCCTGTGACAACTGGGAAGGGTTAACAGACCTTTTTGTACTGCAGGATTTATTCACACATTACAGTAGGTTGTTTCATTAAATTCTGGTCCATTGTTCTGCCCTGTTTTAATATACCACAATGCATTCATTTGTATACCGTGATACCTTTCGCCATGCCTCCTGGATAACATCAATAATGCTTGTTAAACAGGTTGTCTGGAAGCCCCCTCAGTGTCTCTCAGAGGCACTGCCAAAATAATGTTGCCTATTGCTGGTGTTGCTTGCTTGCTTAGTACACTTGATCAAATGTCTTATTTAATCCCTTCTGTGGCTGTGCCTCCTGGATAATATCAGTTGATGTCATGGACTGGCTGGATGCAGAGGAATGGTGGGAAACACCAGCTGGGGAACCCCCAAGGGAAGAAGGCTCGGAACCACATCAACGAGTGGTTAGAGGGAGAAGAGGGAGCAGACTGGGAGGAGGTGTGAGAAGCTGAAGAGGTAGCAGTATTTAGTAAGCAGGAAGAGTCTGTAGCAAAAAGAAGTCCAGAATCGGAGACAGAAGAGGAGACTGGAGATGAGGGGGCATCAAGAGGCGGCAGTGAGTCAAGCTGGTGAGGAGGTCTTCCCCTCCTGCGGTGACCAGCCCCACTTCGCCCTGGTCTGCCAGAACCTGAAGAGGTATGAAGAGAGTGGAGCAAAGATAGTAAAGATGAAGGAGCCTCAGAATGCTTGGGAAGGAACCAGGGGAGGAGGAGGCTTGGAGAGCTGTTGGAAAGGCAGTCCTCATTGGGGGCAAGATCTGCTTGGAAGAGTTGTTGTGCTCACTCTGCCTGAGCTGTTTTGTTTCTTTGAATAAAGCATTAACTTCACTAACACCCTGTGAGTTATTGCTGACCTCCTCCAGACAGCCACCCTGACATTGACCATGGCATAACCTTAAAGATGGATGTATTTGTTAACCTCTGGAAGCATGTGGAAATGTGTGGGTAGGCTTAAGTGCATGGCTCGCATCTAGACACTTTATTTTATTTTTATTATTATCCTTGCATGATTCTGAATGTGTCAGTGTTTGCTCACAGGCTACTACCACGGTCTATGTCACCGTCCTGGATGAGAATGACAATGCTCCAGTATTTCGGCAGCAGCAGTATGAAGTCACACTGGATGAGGGCCCCGGCACACTTAACGCAATCCTTATCACCATCAATGCGGTGGACCTTGACGAAGGGCCAAACGGCACAGTTACATATGCCATCACAGAGGGGAACATCATGGGCACTTTTCACATTAACAGCACTACGGTTAGTACACTTTCACATCGCTGTTTCACTTTGCACAATGGCATTGAACTCCGTTACCCAACAGTCCATGAGCATACGCCCTCATTGCCGAAAGCTAATATTTCCCTTTTGTTTTGGCCTCTCATTTTAGGGACAAATCAGCACAATGAAGGAGTTGGATTATGAAATCAGCCACGGGCGTTACACACTGATTGTCACTGCCACAGACCAGTGTCCGATCCCTTCACGCCGTCTTACATCCACCACAACGGTACGTATCTCTTCCGGGAAAAGAGGATGAAACACGCGGATAACGAGCAGCCCTCCAAAAGCACTTCCAGATGCTGCTTGCATTTCCAGAAGCTAAACCTCCATAACATGCAACAGCTAATGAGATTAATGATCTCCCATTCTATGAAGCGTGCACAGCAAACTTTTTGCTCTCTCCTTTTTTGCATTCTTGCATGTTCTGCAGTTCAATTGCCGTTGCATTATAGAAACTGTTTAAAAGGAGCAACTATATCCGTGGTTCTCAGTAGGAGGAAATTCCATGGATAGTTTCCTTGGGAAGAACATACTTCTCTCTCACTTGTCTCCAGTATTTGGCAAAGAGGGAAAATCACTGCTGGGCACCAAACTTTAAGAAAGATGTTGGTGGTGGCCCATAGGAGGGCAACAGAGATGGTGAGGGATCTGGAGAAAAGTGTAAAGAGACATATGTTTAGCTTGGAGAACAGATGATTAAAAGGCGACAGGATTGGCCATCTTCAAATATTTGAAGGGCTGTCACATGGATGATGGAACCAATATGTTTTCTGTTGCTCCAAGGGGGTGGGAGCCCCCCCCAATCAACAGGTTCAAATTACAGGAAAGGGATGTTCAACTCAACATTAGGAAGAACTTCAGCAATGGAAGCAGTTGTCCTTGAAAGCTGATGGTGGAGTTTCTCCATCATTAGAGGGTTTAAAAATATATATTAATATTATGTTGTGACAATAGGTAACAAAAACCATTATACACTGAACATCCTTGCTTCTCATGCAAAAAAGGAAAGGAAAGGGAAACAAATAGAGGAATACTGCTGCT